TATAACATTTTCCTAGCAAACATAGTAATAATTTGGTTGTCTCCCCTGTTTTGTATTTTACCCCTAATTCCGAATGCTTTATTTAGCTTCAGGAAGGTAGGATAAGGTTACAGAAAGGAAATAGAACATATTCCAAAAAGATAAATTTAGCATATATACAATAATGTAAAGTCATGTCGCTGAGAGTTTCTAACACTATCTTCAAACAATTATAAATATGATAACCAATAAGAAAAGTATGATTTTCGCTGCTGCAAATTATTTTTAAGTTACATTGTTTGCTAAAAATAGCTTTAACTTGTTTTATGGCTTAAAACTAAGTTATATTTCTATGCCCAATTTTTAAAACATTTTTGTTATCCTATCTCAGTTGAGAAAAATATTTAAGTTTCATTTGAAAATAACATGACACTTTGATTTATCTCCCTTGCCCAGGACCTACAGAGACCACCTAGTAAGAAAAAATGCCATCTACCACCGACCACAGCTCAGCCCTGAAATTGTTCAGTGGTCCAAGGAACTGAAAGAAAAACAGTCTGAAAAGGCCACACAAAGACAAGTTAAATTGGAAAATTTAGCCAATGAGTGAGTTGGGTTTGGTTTTAAGTAACTTAGTTAAGATTTTGGATTATTTCTAAATTAAAATGTTTATTAATTCCAAAAAAGAGAATAAATTATTTGATTTTTTGCGAAAAGTCGCACTGATATATTTATGTCTGTAGACTGAACACTAAAGAAAAAGAATCAAAAAGTAAACTGCAGTCAATTGGACCTCATGTTGACATTTACAGGTAAGTCTGACTGCTGTAGCAGTTGATCTCAAAAGGTTTCTTCATTGACTAGCCATGATTATTTCCCTTGGGTTTAACGTATGTCTAACTGCAGGATTTAAAGCCTTTCTAACTGTATTTGCTACCTTTTGGCTTTTAAACTAACCATATTTATTACAAGCTAAAAAAAAATTTTACCACCCTTGTAACCAACAGTATTTACCACCCAAAGAAGATTGGTCCAACTATGAAAGAATTGCACCAGGCAGCTACAAAAATACAGAAGATTGTCAGGGGGTGGCTGGTGAGACGCAGGATTGAGAAGCTCTCTAGGAAGGTCAGCAGTCAACTCACTCCCTCTCCCCTGATCTCTGTCTCTCTGTCTCAGCCTGTGAAGGCAACATTCTCAAGGATGATTTTTTTAAGCAGTTCATTTTTTTCTTTATCATTTTCAACTTGGTGTGTGATACTGTGTTGAATTAATTTAACTTTCTTTTCACTTTAATTTTGTTTATTAAATCTTAAATTAATGCAAGTATTTATTTTTTTATAAATTTGTAGTCATGGTTTTTAACAATCACTTACTAAATAGGTTCTTTAAAAACTTGCAGGCAACATGGTATGGATCAAACTTTACCAAAATGGTAAAAGAATACAAAAATATGCTGAAAGCTGTTCAAAGCCAGCATGGTGTTGATAAACCAAAGAGTCCCTTCAGCATAAAAGAGTTCAATTCTTACATTGACACCCGCAGAAGTAAGTCTTGCCTCTAAATTAATTTAATGTTCATGAAACAGTCTGTCACCTGTAGATGTAAGTCTTGAGTCTCGTCTCTAAACACTAGTCTGATGCTGTTCTATTTAGATGTTGATTCTTTTATATACCAGGTGTGCATTTTAACAAGAAAAACAATATTTTTACTTTTTCTTTAGTTCACCTACTTACTGTATTATATAATTTTTATTATATTATTGTATAATATTATAAAATTGTACTTTTATACAGTTTCGTTCTTAATAGTTATCTGTGAATTATTATTATGTAATGTGTTTATTAGGCCATTCATCAAATCTTTTGTTACAGGGTACGAGAGTGTGTTTGAGAAAAAAGCTTTTGGCGGCGAGTTAGAGCTGAGTGAAGTGCCAGCATTCTTTAAAGAATGTGATCTGTACCCGTCCCAGGAGGAGATAGATGAGGCAATGGATGTCACACTTCATGGTGATGGGGGTTTTTTTTTTTATTTTTTTTTTTTTAGTTTATAATTTTTAGTTGTTTCAGTTTTTGGTTTTAATGTGTTTATATTTAGACTGTAAAGTTTAGTACTCTTCTAGATTTTCAATTTCAATTTTGCTGTCTGGTACACTATTGCCACACACATAAAAAACACACTAACACAGTGCAATTTGACACACCTCCCACTTTACACCATTTTGTGGTAGATCAGGAAAAGTGTTTAAATTATGGTTATTTGAGTTGTGTGAACTTTGGTACTGTTGTAGTGTATAGTAGAATATACTTAACCTACACAGCTGATGATAAACACTCTGGCAATGATAGAAAATTAGGTTTTATGTTTACTTTTTGCTAAATCAATACCAAAAATGGCCACAACATGTCTGTCTTGTTACAGGCCAAGCAATCAAGAGAGAGAACCAGGGCCTGAAGAAGAAAGAGTTGCTGGACATGGTTTTTTACATCTATGTCCCACCAGCCACCAGCTTGAAGGGGACCAGACAGAGCACCTGGATGAACCCAATCATTGATGGCCAGGAAGCCAGGAAATTGTTAGGTGGGACTCGTTAAACTCGTTAAACTACCACATTCATCAAACTACATCAAGATTTGTTTTCAATTCCAGTCTCCCATTTACTACACACAATAGTAATAATGTAAAAATTAATTATGAATTATAACATATATTCCTCTAATAGAGTGCATCTGTTTAAAATTACTGTGGTTTTGCCTACATTATTCCTAGCCATATATACCTCCCCCAACAAGCTAGGTACCCATTAGCATTGCATGTACTCTGAGACATCCTACCGATTAGCAGTTGTGCATTCTATTCTACTCCGCCAGGCCATTCCATATATTCATAGTTAAAAATATATTATTCCCATTATGATTATACTCATAACATTCACCTTGCTTTTTATGCATACAAATTTAAAACCTTTATTAAAAACAAGAGGTAAGGAACCATAAGACATCCTGCTGACTAGCAATTATTCTTGTGCATATGTTGTAGAGCACATTTTTAAAAATGTTGATACATTTTATTTTGCCATGTGGGAAGTAAATTTGTTGAACCAGCCCAAATGTTATAGAGCACATTGAAAAAATATTCATAAATTTTGTTTTGCCTTTTAGGAAGTGAATTTGTGGAACCAGCGCAAATTTTATAGAGCTCATTTAAAAAAATATTGATAAATTTTATTTTGTCATGCAGGAAATGAATTTGTGGAACCATCTCAAATGTTATAGAGCGCATTAAAAAATATTAATACATTTTATTTTGCCATGCAGGAAGTGAATTTGTTGAACCAGCGCCACTGGCACCGTGTGCTAAACTGGTGATTGATGCCAAACGAGAGCAAAGAAAGAAGGAGCAAGCTTTACAAGAGGCAGAGGAAAGGAAGAGAATAGAGGAGTCTAAACAAAGAGCTGAGGAGAAGAAAGCTGCTCAAAAAGTGAAACATGTGACAATTCAATCTCCAAAACATGAAGATTGAAAGGCTATCATTACTAATTCTTGAAGGAGAGTCAGCAAGTTTATAAAAAATGTTGGTATTTTTGTTATGGACTTACATTTGTTAAGGACTGTATATAGACTTGTTTGGCTGGTGTCAAGAATTGTAATGAACCATGTATTATTGTATATTGTAATGAATCATGTATATTGTAATGTACACTATTGAAGCTGGGATTTGTATTAAATTCATGGGTTGGTGTAAAATACAAATACTTCAATTATGTTAAAAATGTAAATAAGCATTTTGAAACAAATGAGACTCATGTTAAATGTAACTATTCAGTTGTACATTACATCGATTCTTTAGCCTTTTAGTTTCAATTTAATAGCTGAACCTTATGGGCTACAGTTGTTTTTTTTTTAATAATTTTAATTTCCATAAATTACTTAATATTTATATTGTGTAACATTACTAGCTGTATGCATTAGATTAATGCTATTAGTTTTCTATTTTTTAGAGACTTTTTAAAAATTTTCTTTAATATTTTTGTATTCACTATATCTGTAGATTTTTTTTATTTCTGTCAGACATTTACTGTATCTGTGATATTTCAAACTGCCATATTGCCAGCATTCTGTGATCAAATCACCATTTTAACACATTTTTATCCCAATCACTACTTGTACCAAATGTTCGGGTTTTTTAAGATAAATAATGTAGAAAAGTACCTTTTAAGATCTGTTAGCACTTAGGGCAGATGGAGTAGAGTTTCTCTGAACACAAAGGAGATTGTGGAATCAGCTCTAAGCCCAGTCACCTTCAATACTGAGCAAAACATTTTCTTGCTCAATTTCAATTTTCCTTATTTTTTAAAAATCTCCACAAACTAATGTTTAAACTCCATGAATTACCAGCTTAATTCCATAAAGTTGAAGGCTGTTAATTGGAGGATTATGAAATGTTGATTCCCTTAGATTCGGTTTTTCAACCCCACAGTCTTTAGAGTTTTGTTTGTTTAAACCACAACCCTTTATGGTTCAATCAAATTAGTTTTATCTTCTTAAAATCTAATCAAAAGAAAACTTTAAATGAAATATAAACACTGTAATCGGCTGGTAATGTCTGGTGATACCACTAGTCATCTTAAAAGAAACAAAAAAATAATTTGTGTACAGTAGTTTATTGTCTTCATACAAATAGTATAAAATTGTGCACACACCCAAGCACTCGCCAGCTTAAATAACAGATAAATTGGACTTAAACATATCCGGACGGAAGAAATTTATTGGACTAGCTACTTTACTAACAAAATAAAATAACTGCATAGATTATGGTGGATAAATTGATAATAATATACTGTATATGTGTGTGCACATATATAAATACATATGCACATTCAAAGAAAGTATATAGAAAAAGTGCACAAGTTGTTACATATTCTACTGAATTCATGCCAGATTCTTTTTTTTTTACTTTTTTACTTAATATATATATGCCTTAAGGATAAAGGAAAGTGTATAAAAGTATTACTGCTAAAATCATTGTTACACAAAACAGTAAAAGTGCAGGTTGTTTTGTCTAAGTCAAGACACAAACAAGGTATCAGTTGTTTTTTTTTATATAAATTTTTTAGTTTTTAGAAATTTTCCTATACAAAAAAATTGCTAAAATAAAATAAAAGTTGAAAACAAATAACTAACTTTTTGTTGTTTCAATAATTACAAAGTTCAGCAAAACTTACCAAATATCAAATCTTATTGTGTTTCTTATGTTCTATTGCATGAGGGGCAGTGAGTAAAAAAAATATTTCAGCCTCTCAAATCTTTCAAGTCCTATAGCTCTAGATAATATGTCCAACAATAATTTAACATACTTTTTTCATTCACTAAGTTTAGCTTGTGACTAGTGTTTTACACTCATCAATTAAATCTACCAGTGATTCTATTCAAAGAAAGTTACTTCAATTAAAGTGTATGTTTAATCAGTTACTTCAATTAAAGTGTATGTTTAATCAAAGTTACTTCAATTAAAGTGTATGTTTAATCTAAAAAAAAATGTATTCGATCAAGTTTTAATATTAAGAAATATAATAGTCCCAGTCAGGTAAAGGAAACACAACTCCATTTGTTAAGAGAAAAATATGCTACATAAGCAATGTTATAAAGGATAAGTGTTTTTATTTTAACGTAATGCCATGCTTTTACCTTTATAAAATTTGAATTTTAGATAACTTGTTGGGTACAAAACCAGAAGGTAATATATTTTAGAAGTGTAAATGGCAACTTCATTGATTTTGTGTACTTATGATTTCATTAGTTAAATATTGATCAGTTCTATTAACTGGTGATCAGTTTAAAAGAATTACAAGATGTCTAAAGGTTCAAGGAGATTGAAATTTATATCATGCACTTTTACATAGTACAAACTTACAGTAAATAAATTATAAATTAAAGTAGTATAAACAATATATACAATACATTTTTTTTTTAATAAAAATAGACTACTCCAGAAAAAAATCATTTTAATTTACTTTAGAGGCGTTAATAATTTTTTTTTAAAAAACAATTTTATTTTAACTGATTAAAAATTGCAGTTTTCCAAAATTTTGACAAACTGAAGTCATTTGTTCTACAACACGAACAAAGTGGATTTTGGCAAAATGTGAGAAACAACTTTATATCACAGATGAGCTTCATTAGAAAATTATTACATTTTTTTTTACAGACAAATGGAAATTAGAAAAACGAAACCACAATCAACACAATGTTAATTACATCAAGCAAAGTAGACTGACAGTGAATGACCAAATAACAAATCTTAAATGTACGGTCCTCTCCATACAAAAATTGTCAGCATAACCTTCAACTGAGTTTTATCAAATAATGTTAAGATTCCTAAAAATATAGGAAACTCACTTCAGCTAGACTTTTTTTTTTTCACACATTAATCTATAAACAATTTCAATGGTGCTAACATGTTTACAATGGACTGACAGTTTAGATAGAAATGACATTTGGCACGGGAAACCTGGTCTATCTGAACAAGACAATAAAAAATATTAAAAACACTGGACCCTGTACAAGAAGATTTTTAGCACCTGAATAGTTCCTTGAATGAAAAAGTTGGAATGTTGAAGCAATGAAACAATCTAAAGCTAACACTAAGAGGTAAGATAGAAAAAAAATATGAATATTTCAAACTTTATAGGCACTTTGGTGAAGAAGATACAAAATGTAAAAATAATTTAAGAATCTAACTCAAAGTTTCTCAAAAAATCTTTAAAAGCCAATAAGTTATAAACTATTGCTACTTGCTTTTATTTGAAACACCCTTAAACAAAGCCATCTAAAATCACCAAACAAAAACACCATAGAGATAATGTTACCAAACTACTAAATTATGCTGCTTTGGCAATGTGGCTTAAATAGGAATGTTAAGTTTGAGTAAAAATAACAGATAGAAAAGCACCAATTACAAATCTGTAGAAAAATACATTATTAAAGTTATTTGTTCTAGTGGACTGAGCACTTAGATTTGAGTATATTTATTAAATAGATTAGTTTTGCAAAATATAGCTTACATGCCCAGAATTTTACAGTAAAAATAATAAAACTAAAAATAAAAAGCTGAATTATTCCTGAATTTTGAGTAGGTTACTCAAGAAATTTTGGAAGAGAATATTTTGGCAATCCTTTTTGATTCTTCAGCTGAAGGGGGTAGCTTGTTCTTGAGGGACAAAGGAGTTACCTTGACCTTAGAGGCTGTTATTTTGTTGACTAGCTGGGACACAGCCTCCACCTTTCTTTCAGCTCGCAAATCATCCTGGTCAGACAAACAAATCATAATCAATCACATGTGGACAAAACAGTCATGGAGTATATAGTAATAATTACATGTTAGCTAAGCCAAGACATAATCATATGAAAACATAAACAAGTCTCTGAAGGTGTTCTAGTAAAATTAAAAATCGTTTAATTTAAGTGTACATTTTACTTCAACTTGATAGTAATTTCACACAAGTGCCTGGTTAGAAATTTTACACAATTATGTAATAAGAAAAATTCAGGAATGACAAAAATTAGAGCTTTTCTCGTAGAATTTGTTGGCACCAATAGTAAAAAAAATAATTTTCTCGAGTTTTGGATATTTTTTTTTCACTGCAGAGCTGACGACTGCAAACCCAAAAGTCCCGAGTTCGGATCCCAGGCTGGTCCCAAAGTACACCCAGTTCTGATGGGTAAAGGAATCCTGTTAGGAAAACTACTTACTACTTATCTGTCTCATGTGTCTTGGGCAAGAATGGGAAAAGCTTATTTTTTTTCACCTTAATATTTTATGGCAATATTTAATTATGTCCTCTAAATACTTCCACCTACTTTTGTGATACTAGAAGCTGCAGCAGTTGCTAGCTGTATGGCACGAAGAGAGGCTTGCATATCTTCTGCTGGCATGAAAAAGTTTGGGAAAGAATCCAGCTCATAGATGGACTCTTTAGGCTGGTCAACGCCACTGTCCTCGTTCCCATCATCAGTTGACCTGTGAACTCCGTTGGTGACCAGGATGCTGCTGGGGTGAGTGCTGTGTCCATCACTCTCTCCCTCATTATAGGCCGAGTCAACTGTACTATCCTTGTCATGGCCTGCGCTGTTGTTGACATTCATCTTGGCTGTGTGTAAGGGGTTGTGTGTGTTGAAAGGTTTTGATGTGTCCTGTAATGCTGAGGTAGAAGATCCTGAATGCTGCTTCACGTCAGCTGATTGACCAGAGGCTTTGCTGGAACTGCTGACAGATTTGATGGAGCTTGTTTTGGAGGCGGTGTGAGAGCTGAGAGATTTTTTACTGCTGCCAGAGTTAGGCCTCTGTGTTGAGGACTCGGATTCCAGGTCCACATTGGACAGGAGATGTCGAAGCTTAGGCCTAGCACCCTCCCCAGTCTGTTGGGCTGGCAGCTCCAGGGTGTAAGGATATTCCAGTCTTTGGTTTGAAGCCAGGGATGAAATCTCACTGAAAGTAGACTGGAGCGTCTGTGGTGCAGATGTTGATTTGAGGGACGAGGAGGCTTCGAGAGAAATTTTATTCTGCCCTGTTGACGTTAAGGTGTCCAGCAGTTCAACTTTAGACAGGAGGCTTTTAGGAGTGGGAAGCTCTGAAACCTTGTCATGATCAAAATCAAGCTGAAACTCAGGCTCTATATCATGCTCGTCAAACTCAGTGTTCTTAGTTTGTGTTCTGACAGTGTTGCTGGCAAATTCCACGTCAGCCACATCGAAGAAATCTTCCACTGAATGTTTTTTGGTCCACATGTTCCGGGAGGTGTCCTCATCACTGGAATAGCCGGCGTTCTGATTCCAGACAGTGATCCCTCGATGGGTTTCCTCCCCCTGTTCATGTTCGGAACAGTTGTCCAGCTGCAGCCTCATGTCCTCATCAAACAACTGACCAGGATCTGCTTGTCTCCCCTCATCACTGGCCAGGCTCTCAACATCCTGCTTGTTCTGCTGCTCCTCTGTGCCCTCATCACCCTCAACCTTTGACCCTGGCGCCATTTTCTTCTGAGCCTTCAGCCATTTCTCCAGCCTCTCATTGCCATGGTGCTCCAGTTCATCCTTCAGCAAGCTGTCCATGTCCCCCACATCATCCTCCGTGACAAACTGTTTGTTTTTCTCAAACACGTGCTCGAAAAAACTGTCATCGTTGTCATCAGAGCACCAGATGCTAGTCCCTTCGTGGGCATTAGCACTGGGGGAAGCTGGAGACAGGGCTAAATTCTGTAGAGAAGCTAGAGGCTGGTCTAAGTCACTGTTATGCCTTACAACACTCCCACCAATAGTGGCACCATCAGCAGGGTTAGCTCCCAGAGCTAGAACAGTAGAAATGTTGTTTAAGCTCCTGGGGATGATTTTCACCTCCTCTACATCATCATCACTTCCCTCCTGACTTTCATCTTCTGCTTCATCCAGCAACTCCCTGTACTGATGATAGCTGCCATACCTTCCATCCACATCCTCATCCTCTTCAACATGCTCCTGATGTTTGCTGTCTGACCTTGCTGTTGCGCTACCACTGTGTCTTGAATCTGACCTTGCTGTTCCGCTACCGCTATGTTTGCTGTCTGACCTTGCTGTTGCGCTACCGCTGTGTCTAGAGTCTGACCTTGCTGACCCGCTACCACTTTGGCTGGGCTTGGAGTCTGACTGACTTCCCACGGCACTGGCTGGTTTTGATCCTGGTTTCCCTTTAAATGAGAAGCTCTCCGTGGCGTTACTCCTCTGTGTGCCTGGGGTAAAGCCGTGGCTGTTGCCTGAGCTCTCTGAGTTGTCAATGGTGGGCAGGAGAGTCTGGGTTTTGCTGGCGGCCACGGCCAGGAACCCGCCCTCTAATGTGCCAATAGTGGAGGTGGCCTGTGGCAGGGAATCAGCGTAACCAGACCTAAATGTTGACATGGTGTCGCTCGTTACGGCTAAAATGTTTTTATCACTGCGCTGGCTGTCCGGGGCTTCTTCGACAGATTTTTCTGATAAGTTTCTAGCGGAATAAATTCCAGAGTCTAAGAGTTTCCGGCCTTTTTTCTCCTTTTTATCTCCGTCTTTCACAGCCTGGTGCACGTTCTCTACGGATGAGTCGTGGTTCATGTTGTGACTCTTTGTGGACTCCTGCGAGGATGCAACTTCTGAGAAGTTGGGCATCACAGGAGAGTCATGGTTCATGTTGTGACTCTTAGTGGACTCTTGTGATGTGGCAACGTCTGGGGAAAATTAGCCCTGACAGTAAATATTCTAATGAGCTGAAACATTTACACTGATTTTAATTTAATCGCTGGTTCAACCCCATACTACAAATACATTTAGAAACAACTGATTTAGAAATTAGAATAGCAAGCTCTGTAAGATGACATGACTTTGCCAGCTGTGTTATATAATTAAATGATAAAAATCTTCAACTTAAAATTTTTTTTAAATCTTTGAAAAAGATTATTTTACAGCAGCCAAAATTATATATTCTGAAAGTGCATTAGCATTCAATTTACCATAAAACTAATGATTTAATGAACGCTCCATGTTTGGGGTCAGACTGCAGGAAACGAAAAGAGTAGGCCTAGATACAAATCACAACAACATGTAGTTTCAAAGTTTTGCTGGATTTAGTCAATGGGGAACATAAACCCAAAACGTAGTTACATTACTTTAAAATGTACCAAAAAAAAACTATTAGGCCTACAGGTGTCATAAGTTTGTCTTATGAGTAAAAATCTTTTTATTCAATTTTAGAAAAAATGTAAACCATCAGCAATACAAAATATGACTCCAACTGTAGGACTAATCTAAGCCCAAGTATCAAGTACACAGCTATAATACTTTCCATGCATCTAAAAGAAATGTATGCCCATGGTATTAACACTCTCATGCTACTAATCTTTCTGGTTCCTCCATGAAAAAGAATTGAAAAATGTGCTAAAATTTGAGCCAACAATAGAATAAAGACCTGCATATCTAAAAAAGTATAATCCAAAAGCAAAAGGATTATGGTTCACACTATAGCCCCTACATCAGGTGTAAAATGACTTTTTGTCTCCCTTTTTGTATTTAGGTTAAAATTGCTTGGCCTATTTTTGTGTGAATAAGTTTTCTATTTATATCAGGCTTGAAAAAAAATTGGGTTTGCTATTTGTATAACTGGCTGTATGTGCGAGAAATCTGAATTTTTAACCTTAGTTATTTTAGAAGTTAATTAGGGTCCAAATAGACTTTTTCTGCCATAAAAGCGAACCCAATTTTTCTACTTGAATAAAAAATTAATAACCCTATAATAAGTTCTTTCATTTTTCAAGCTATAAATTTGGTGTTTCTGATCTGATAAAAGCAATTTCAATCAAGGGAATTGTTTCATTTTTGATTTACTTTCCATATAAAAATTTCATTTAGAATACTTACTGAGAGGGGAGTCCTGGGTGTTGAAGAGGGAGGAGGCTGTGTGGATGGAGCTCAAGTCAGACTGTGTGCCAGTCAAAATCTCACCAGATGTGGCAGTGTTCCACGGCTGCTCGCCTGCATCCAGCGCCTGATGTTGGACAGACAGTCGCGTCTTGAAGCTTTGGGTCATGGTATCTAAGTCTTGCAGCTGGCGTCTGGAATTATTACAACAGATATGGCAATTGAAAAAATCATTCAAGGTGCGGAACTTTTCTACAATAAGTAACAGTGTTCTTTGAAATTAATTATATTTCTTATAATTTAATTTTTTTAATTTTAAACTAAAAAGATTTAAGATCTGAAAGTAAATAGATTATAAATAGAAGAAGAAAATAGAAGAAAGAATGCCAGAAATACAGTACCTCAAGGATGAATAGAGGAAAGATTTAGATGGGTCTTCTGTTCTGGGCTGTGATGTAAAATTGGGTCTCCAGTGTAGTGAGGCTGATGTATTTCCCAGAGCGGGGCTCCCTTGACTGACTGAATCTTTGGAAAATTTACAACATAATATATTTAAAATGGGGAAGTATTAGATATGTTTAGATACGCATAGATGAAACATTACCAAACTGTTTTATCACACCAACAATAAATGGCTGTCATAAAGTTAACACTAGGAGGATGTAGTTAGCTCTAAACAACTACACAATTGCATGGTGACCTGACCACTTGATACTATAGGAAAGTTTATTCCATGCTATCAACAGGGTGCAACATTTCTAAAAACAATTCATGTAACTCTTACATAACAATCAGAAATTTCAGGGAGATATTCCTAAAAATAAAATTTGAAAAGAAAATGAAGACTTCCTAAAAATTAAAGTTTTAACTTAGATCTAAACATCCTATAACCATTACCTTCTCTACTTAGATCTAAACATCCTACAATTATTACCTTCTCTGGATTCAGTTTCCAACGTAGCATTAATGCCTGAGTCCTGGTTGGTCAAGATGCCCATCTTTTGGATGACATGTTGCTGTAGGCTGTGGAGCTGTTCAACAATCCTGGAGGCCACAGCGTTGGTGTTGGTGGACAAGCTCAGACTGTTGAACCCAAAGTTTGGGAGCTGGAAGGTTGAAAACAAAAGTTATTCAAGCTCAGACTGTTGAACCCAAAGTTTGGGAGCTGGAAGGTTGAAAACAAAAGTTATTCAAGCTCAGACTAGACTGTTGAACACAAAGTTTGGGAGCTGGAAGGTTGAAAACAAAAGTTATTCAAGCTCAGACTGTTGAACCCAAAGTTTGGGAGCTGGAAGGTTGAAAACAAAAGTTATTCAAGCTCAGACTAGACTGTTGAACCCAAAGTTTGGGAGCTGGAAGGTTGAAAACAAAAGTTATTCAAGCTCAGACTGTTGAACCCAAAGTTTGGGAGCTGGAAGGTTGAAAACAAAATTTACTTGCTTTCCAAGGAACTACTATAAATATAACAGCATGTATTTCTAACCAGTGCTAAGTTTGACCAAGAGGTGGATGCTGGAATAAATACTCACCAACAAGCTGGTGCTGGAAGAGCTAGATATCCTCTCACTGTGTTGTAGATCTTGTGGAGTTATGCTGACCTGAAATTATATCATGACTCGTGTGCTTATTTGTTTTGATACTGTTTGCACCATCAGGTTTGTTTAATTTGTAAAATGGTCACTTAAAACGCAATGAGTGTAATGATATAGATAAGTTGACGTCAAAAAAGAAACTTATTGTTTCTGAATTAGACTGAAATTATTTCTTTCAATTACTTAAATGTATCTATCCTCTACTATATGCTGCCCATTACCTTTATCTGACCTTTACACTGCCCATTGAAGTCTATGATGTTATACCAGCCACATATTTGGTGTAGTCCTTTAGCAAGGGAAGATAAGTCCACTGACACAAATCCAAGAACACGATCACTTGATTTATCTGTAAAAATATTAGTCATAACAGTTAGATAGATGTCAACATCATGCAGCAAACCTACTATCATCTGTCAACACCATGCAGCAAACCTACTGCCAACACCATGTAACAAACCTACTGTCATCTGTCATCACCATGCAACAAACCTACTATCATCTGTCAACAATATTCAGCATACCCACTGTCATCTGTCAACAACTTAAGATTAAGAAAACAACTATTTTATTACCTGGAGTTTTTGAAGCATCAGACGGCTTGTGCCACACTTTTAATATCAAGTTCTGAAAATAATATACAAATATCTGTCATATATAGGATACATCACTTTCCAACCACCAACAAATATAAAACTATATTTTCAACTGACCTTTTTTTTAACTTGTTTAACTTGTACAGGTGTAATGTTAAATGTACCTTGTTTAACTTTTACAGGGTTCAAGTTAAACTGACCTTGTTCAACTTGTACAGGTGTTAAACTGACCTTGTTCAACTTGTACAGGTACTCTGTACTGAGCCTAGTCTCCACCACATAGTCCCACACTGGGTTGGTTGAGTTGGGGAAGATGGAGCTGGTACAGGTGTTAAACTGACCTTGTTCAACTTGTACAGGTGTAAAACTGACCTTGTTCAACTTGTACAGGTGTTAAACTGACCTTGTTCAACTTGTACAGGTGTAAAACAGACCTTGTTCAACTTGTACAGGTGTTAAACTGACCTTGTTCAACTTGTACAGGTGTTAAACTGACCTTGTTCAACTTGTACAGGTGTTAAACTGACCTTGTTCAACTTGTACAGGTGTTAAACTGACCTTGTTCAACTTGTACAGGTGTTAAACTGACCTTGTTCAACTTGTACAGGTGTTAAACTGACCTTGTTCAACTTGTACAGGTACTCTGTACTGAGCCTAGTCTCCACCACGTAGTCCCACACAGGGTTGGTTGAGTTGGGGAAGATGGAGCTGGTACAGGTGTTAAACTGACCTTGTTCAACTTGTACAGGTGTTAAACTGACCTTGTTCAACTTGTACAGGTGTTAAACTGACCTTGTTTAACTGGTACAGGTGTTAAACTGACCTTGTTCAACTTGTACAGGTGTTAAACTGACCTTGTTCAACTTGTACAGGTGTTAAACTGACCTTGTTTAACTGGTACAGGTGTTAAACTGACCTTGTTCAACTTGTACAGGTGTTAAACTGACCTTGTTTAACTGGTACAGGTGTTAAACTGACCTTGTTCAACTTGTACAGGTGTTAAACTGACCTTGTTCAACTTGTACAGGTGTTAAACTGACCTTGTTCAACTTGTACAGGTGTTAAACTGACCTTGTTCAACTTGTACAGGTGTTAAACTGACCTTGTTTAACTGGTACAGGTGTTAAACTGACCTTGTTTAACTGGTACAGGTGTTAAACTGACCTTGTTTAACTGGTACAGGTGTTAAACTGACCTTGTTTAACTGGTACAGGTGTTAAACTGACCTTGTTCAACTGGTACAGGTGTTAAACTGACCTTGTTCAACTTGTACAGGTACTCTGTACTGAGCCTAGTCTCCACCATGTAGTCCCACACAGGGTTGGTTGAGTTGGGGAAGATGGAGCTGGTACAGGTGTTAAACTGACCTTGTTTAACTTGTACAGGTACTCTGTACTGAGCCTAGTCTCCACCACGTAGTCCCACACAGGGTTGGTTGAGTTGGGGAAGATGGAGCTGCAGGAGGGCTTTGACCTTTCAGCACTCTGATATGATACATACGTTGATGGGCAGATTTCTCCTGATCTAAAAGCATGGAACAGGAACATCAGTACAAAACTTGTGTTAGGATATTTAAGAATTTCCATCAATTTTAATAGGGACATTTTAGATGTTTGATATTTTTCTTCTTCAGCCTGCGTTATTTTGCTGTTTTTTTTTAGATAAAAATTTATTTGATCAATGCTGTGCAAAGCTATTAGTCTTAGAGTGCATGACTCTACTTTTCTTTTACTCAATGTAATGGACAGCATTATTTGTTACCTCTCTAATTTTTTAGTTTTACAGATCAACATTTTACCAGTTTCTATCATATGTATAGTACATCAGACAGATGAACAGATGTTAAATACCTCAAAAAAAAGTAACTTTACAAAATTTCTACCTGTTTCTCTCAGACACCATAGGTAAATGCATGGCCCGCTCAACAGCCAGTAGCACACCAAAACTGGTGTCAGGGTTGGCACCATCTGACTTTGTTTTCCCTTTCTTTGGTGTCTTGTTGAAGCTGAAGCCTTCTGTCCAGTCATCTGCACTCACTGACTGGTCAGTCTCTGACTGGCTCACATCCAGGTCTGTGTTCATCTTCTTTTCCTCGGATGTCTGAAATATATCACTTAATGTCTGCATTACATAACTTAATTACTCAATATCTGCATTACATAACTTACTCAATGTCTGCATTACATTACTTAATTACTCTGTCTGGATAACATAACTTAATTACTCAATGTGTGCATTACATAACTTAATTACTTAATTTCTGCATTACATAACTTAATTACTCAATGTTTGCAACATGAATCTAAATTACTCAATGACTGCAATACATCAATTAATTATTCAATGTCTGCAATTTATCACTTGATTACTCAATGTTAGCAATACATATTAATTACTCAGTGTTTGATTTACATCACTCAACAACTAAACTAAACTAAACTGCGAATAGCTGTCTTGGCTAAGAGTCAGGTACCCATCAGAGCTGAGGAGACTCAAGTGCATCTCACAAACATCATGCACTATGGTGTTTACTGTCCTTGACTCTGGTACCAAACAAAGCTAAATAGACACAAAGACTTGAAACTGACTGAAACTGAACTTTCAATTGTCATGTTAACATCCAGCAGTAACTCTACCATCCTACCAGCCAGTCTAAGTAAGATTAACTTTTGAAAATAATTCTCACAACATGCAGATCAGCATAGTTGGGGAGGGGGGGGGGGGGGGACGGGATTCTGTCTTAAATCTAGTTAAACTTTATGTCAGTTACATCCAAGTGGCAAGAATTACTTCCTGTTAAACCTAAATTTAAAAACCCCACTTACCAGATGTCTAGCACTAGTGTTGATGCGTGAGGTAATGTGGGCCCTGATGAAAGCTGCCTTCAGACTGTTTGAGCCAGGTTTGAAGAGGGGAAACAGGCCACTGAAAATACAAGGAAACAAGTTAACTAAGGTAATCTATGGGGCCATATGTATTTCTGTGACCATGGCATGTGAAAGATTGCGTCAGGAGACAACACTAGCAACACTACCCCATGATCTACAGCAGGGGTCTCCAAACTACGGCCCGCGGACCGGATGCGGCCTGCGAAGTCTTTGTGTCCACGGAAAAAATGTTAGGCTGAGGAACTTTGCCCAGAAAATTCAAAACACCCCGAAGAGATTTCTTGAAGAAAACTCTGGCTCTGGCCCCCGAGCTTATATTTGATAGTTAAAGCGGCCCTTGGGCTGAAAAGTTTGGAGACCCCTGATCTACACTTTACACTGTATGAAAACATATTTTCCAAGGGAAGCAATTTTGAAGTAAACTGCTTAATTAGCAATAAGAATATATATTTATATACTTTTGTGAAAATAATGCTCTTGATAAAGTTTATTTTTATTTTTTTACATAATCATTATAAATTATTATAAATGTTCTAAAAATTGTACTTTTCTTGAAGAATAATATTTAATTATAGCACTATTGCAAAACAAAAAGCCATAATTTTTTTGTCAAAAAAGCTCTTATTTTAAAGTATTCGTTTAATATTTGAGCACAATGTTATGCAAAATTAATGTAAAATTTTGGATCCCTGTAAAATCAAGGGACATCTAAATATGACTCAATGTTTAGAGCAGGGGTCTCCAAACTACGGCCCCGGGTCATTTTAGCCGGCCCGCAACGATCTTTTTGTCCACTGAATAAATGTTTGTTGGAGGTGGCTGAAGAGCTATGCACAGAAAATTCAAAACATTTTAAAAATGTATCTTTGTGTGCAAATACAATTACTCGCCGTGTTGCAGACATTGGTGAAAAAATTGCGACTCAAATAGCGAAAAATTCAAGCAAGTTTTGCCATTTTTCAATTGCAATGGATGAGTCGCTGGACAGCTGTTCCACCTCTCAACAGCTTGTGTTCATTAGAGGTGTGGATGAAGACACAAGAGCTGGCTTCCCTACATATAATGTATGACACTTACCGAAAAGGATATCTAACCATAGACAGTTCAGAGACAAACACAAAATCGCAAGATTTACCATATTTCACATCAGTAAGATTGCTAATTTTGCGAGAAAATTCTGAGCAGAGTATCTAAGAAAAGAAATAGGTGACTTCCTGATAGTAAAGGCAAGTCACAGCCATATTTGTCTGATGAAGAGTGGGTACTGAAATTGGCCTCTGCTGCAGACATAATTAGGCATTTAATTTTTTTCTGAACCTAAAATGGCAATAGAGGCAAATTTATTTCTAAAGGCCTTTAGACACAAACTTGTTATGTTTTTGGAACAAGTACAGGCTAACAACTTGACACACTTTCGGCAGTGCAAGGTCTATACGGCTGAAGCAACCACTGAGTTCCCCATGTCATATACATACGAGATCATTAAAGACCTCCATCTGCAGTTTCAGTAGCGATTTTCTGACTTGGATTCAAAGGCAGAAGAGGTGAGACTGTTTAAAAGCCCATTTGAAGCAAATGTGGCCAGTTGCAAAGATGAACTGCAGTTGGAGGTTATTGAATTGCAAGAAAATGACTTCCTTAGAGACACGTTCAAAGAAGGGCGGATGGGTTTTCATACGTTTTTGCACAAGGAAGACTTTCCTAACATTAAAACTTTTGCATCAAAGTACCTTTCAAATTTTCGAACAACATACCTGTGTGAACAAACATTTTCAAGAATGAAATACTTGAAGAACAATTTGAGAACAAACGTGAGAGCAAGGGGGTGGACACTTGAAATTTGTATTTATTTCTACATAAATTATATTTTGTTGGGGGGGGGGAGTGTAAACGTTCTTCGGGGGGGGGGGGGGAGGAACACGACCCTGAAGAGATGCCTTTAAGAAACTCTGGCCCCCAAACTGATATTTGATAGTTAATGCGGCCCTCGGGCTGAAAAGTTTGGAGACCCCTGATCTACAGGATAGATAGAACTAGAGATGTGTAGGTATGCAACTGAGCAAATCTAACACCAAAATTAATTCAATTATAGTATAAACATTCCTGTACCAATTCACCCAACAAAATGAAATGTAAGAAATATTAACATCAACCAATATATACGAAGGACATCAAAACTATTCCTTAAAGTTTAGCTTGAGTGTAGGTTCCAGCAGTAACAAACCTGATTCTCTGCTGTCCTCTTCTAGTGTCAGTCAATGACTCCAGGTCTATGTAACAGCTGCCAATCAGCTTATCCCTCTGTCTGGGCCTACGTTCACCTTCAGTCCCTCTACCATACGTCACCCAGGTCTGTATCTCCAGCCTCTCTTCTCTCAAATACCTGGACAGGTACACAAAACATTGGCAGTTTATTTACATTACGTGTATGGGTTAACAGGTGTGTTAAAAGGATGAGATCAAAAGGTGACAAGGATGAGATCAAAAGGTGACAAGGATGAGATCAAATGGTGACAAGGATGAGATCAAAAGGTGACAAGGATGAGATCAAAAGGTGACTAGGATGAGATCAAAAGGTGACAAGGATGAGATCAAAAGGTGACAAGGATGAGATCAAAAGGTGACTAGGATGAGATCAAATGGTGACAAGGATGAGATCAAAAGGTGACAAGGATGAGATCAAAAGGTGACAAGGATGAGATCAAAAGGTGACAAGGATGAGATCAAAAGGTGACAAGGATGAGATCAAAAGGTGACAAGGATGAGATCAAAAGTGACAAGGATGAGATCAAAAGGTGACAAGGATGAGATCAAATGGTGACAAGGATGAGATCAAAAGGTGACAAGGATGAGATCAAAAGGTGACTAGGATGAGATTAAAAGGTGACAAGGATGAGATCAAAAGGTGACAAGGATGAGATCAAAAGGTGACAAGGATGAGATCAAATGGTGACAAGGATGAGATCAAAAGGTGACAAGGATGAGATCAAAAGGTGACAAGGATGAGATCAAAAGTGACAAGGATGAGATCAAAAGGTGACAAGGATGAGATCAAATGGTGACAAGGATGAGATCAAAAGGTGACAAGGATGAGATCAAAAGGTGACTAGGATGAGATCAAAAGGTGACAAGGATGAGATCAAAAGGTGACAAGGATGAGATCAAAAGGTGACAAGGATGAGATCAAAAGGTGACAAGGATGAGATCAAATAGTGACAAAAATGAGACCAAATGGTGACAAGGATGAGATCAAATTATGACAAGGATGAGATAAATAGGTGACAAGGATGAGATAAATAGGTGACAAGGAGATGACAATGTTGGATGACTCACCACTGTAAGGGTGCAGTGTGGGACAACACAAAACTCTGCTTGTGACTCAATGAACACAGCAGGCTCCCAGTGTCAGACAGGTGAATCTTTCTACCTTTGGAGGCTACAGCACCTGGTGACAGGATGAACAATATATTAAAACAGGTAAATCTGGACCCTCCAACAACATCTGTCAAAGGCTTTAATCACCAAACATGTTTTCCTAACATTAAGTACTTTAGTCCTACTCTTACATTTACCTTATGGCAGGTAAAAATTGATTACTCTTACCTTTATCATAAAACTTGTACCTCACATAACACCTGGCTGTGGGGTCAAGTTCAGTCTGACCAACCAATAGAGCACAGGTGACTGGGAATGTGACCTGATCCACACTCACAGTGATATTGTGTACATTGTGGTGGCTATCTACAAGCAGAAAACAATAGACAAAAATTACATCTTTTCCATTAGCATTTGCTTTAATTAAACAGACTATTAAAACAGGTAATGCAAAAAAATGAAGTTAGCAGTGAACAAACGACTTACCCTCATCCTGCCAATCAGGCTGCTCAACATCTAAATCTATCGGCCCCCAGCCCACACTTCTAGCAGCGCTGACAACACGGTCTCTGTCTTCCTGGGTGGGGAATCTGATGGACAACTCCAGGCCTCCAGCCACCTGTACACACAACAAGAGTTACTATGGAAACCAGTACCCTCCATACATAATGCACGGGTTCCTAACAAAATGAGAGTTACTCCCCTTAAATAAAACTGAGTGAAGAATAAATAGACAATAAAATGTATTTATTCTGAGGGAAAAAAAAATTGTTTTACTTGGTCTAAAGCTGTAGTGGTATGAGCATCCCCACCATCAACTGGTTTTGTCCACCCCATTGAGGGAAGATTGACAGCAAACCACCCAGATATACCTAAAAACAGACATTCACCATGTTAAAAGTACACAATATATTTGCATGTGGGAAGAACAAAAGCTTAAATTCACATCAGAAGTAATTAGAGAATTGTTTTTTTTCTCCTGACATTTATATAGTAAAATAAAGGAAGTGACAAAAAGAAGATGATTTTTACCTGTTCTTCTGGTCAGGAGTGAGACAAGAGGAACAATGGCGGTCCCCAGGAGAACATCACCTGTGTGCTGGGTCAATCTGCGACCCGCTGACCCACTTTTCTCCATCTGGAAATCTGGACAGGAGTAAAAAGAAATCATAATTTTTTTTAACATAATAAAACAAAGTCAAGTTTTTATTTCTAGAGTATCAAAAAAATCATATAAAATATTTTAAAGTTGTTCACACTCAGCTATCAAAAAAAAAAAGTTTTCTAGAACATTTTTTTTTATTTGGAGACTTTTAGTAGAACGCACAAGCGTCTCACCTTTATTTAGACCTGTGGGAATCTGATGCCAGACTTCAAACTCAGCCTCGCCTGACTCCAACAGTTCTGCCAAGCTTGTGGCATCAGTTGAATGGACATTGGACATGAGCAGTGGGCAGGGGAAGTCTATGTAGTGGGTGAACTCTGGAGAAAAACTTCTGGCAACAGTTTTTGTCATTCTTTCATTCTGGAAATGATTCAGATTTAGTTAAAAATAAAATAATCTAATCAGACTATTGACATTGAATTATCTCAGTTATTCATGGTCTACACAGTCAAATAAAACATCTCACCTCTTTTCCCAAAAATGAAATTTTAATCCTAACATAAGCGTTCACCCCAACATCAGCAGGGTAAGCCATGGAGGAATCTAAGTGAGCGATGGCATCTGCTGCAGCCTATACAGAAATATTTATTAGATTTTAATTTGCTAAACAATACAATCAACATTGTTTCCTCAACTTCTTAAAAAAGAAAATGTAACAGATTAAAAAAAAAATATGTTAGTTTACAGATGCAGAAGCCAAGGTGTGCCAGTGAGCATTGTTTTATTTTTCAAGCGGTAATCTTCAAACTTTGGTTTAGTGTAAAAATTGTCAATGTACAAGTGGTAGCCTTTGTTGAGCAAGTGGCTCTGCTTCAACAGTTTGTCAACAACACTAAAGGCCTGTCCTTCATCGTGGCAGACATCCAAGTCTTTGCCACTATGTAGAACAACATGAATGATGTATCCCTTTGAATCACACAGCTGATATTTTTTAATGACAAATCTAGCATGTCTTTTGTTTGGCATATAATTTAGCAACACAGTGCAATTTTTCATGCCAATCACGCTTTCATCTATGCTAATGTTTCAAAATGCCTTGCAATGAAACGGAAGTAGATTCACAATTATAATAATATTGGTTAATTTCCTGTAAAATATTGCATTGGAAACAAGTTTAAAGGTTTTGAATCGCCTTTTTTTTTCTGTCACACAGTAGAACCGGGAAACTTTTTACAGCCGACCATAGTTTGTTGGTTGAGAAACCTACCTTGAGTCCAGATGCTCTGATAATGCCAACGGACAAGCACACCTGCGAACCGTCATAACTTTTTTGAGCACTACTTGCTGTCTCACACTGCAAAAGACAGTTATCAAAATGTTCACCAAACATCAAAAGAAAGTTATCAAAATGTTAACCAAAATTCAAGCTTCATCTAACTCCCTGTTAATAAACTAAATTAAACTCACTGCACGAACAGTATTTAAATAGACACTCATTAAAAATTATAATGAATGTTTAACATTATGTATTTCATTAGAACCTTTTCACGGAATTGACCATCTTACTGACAAGTGAGATTGACCTACCTGGGCAGGAAGAGATTTGTAGTTGACAGTCACCTCCAACACACCCACATCTTTTGACTAAAAAAAAGTATATTGACAAATTAATTAAATGAAGCAGGTCTTGTAAAACACATTGGAAAAAAAGTATTTTAGTTTTGTAGTTGGCTAGTGATCACTTTACCTTAGCTACAGCCTCAACACTGTCCTGCTGACCATCAGCTCCAACCTGGGAGAGCCGTAAAGAATACGACTGTATGCAGGATTCTCCTTTTTTGTGCATGGTTATCATGGCACACAGTTTAGCCAATGGGAGAGAGGACTACAGAAAGAAAACATTGCAATGAAGTGACTATTGTAACAATTATAATGATAATAAGCCGAAGGATATAATTCAATTGACTACTAGATAACAATAAAATACATTTAAAATCTTGAATACGCGAAAGCAAATTGTTTCTGTAATTCCATGACTTACTTTAGCAATCAGCTGATCTCGAACATTGGGATGATAGTATCTACACCAAACCTCAAATGGTAGACCACTAACACCTCCACCTGAGTTGGCACAAGCTGTTATCACAGAGAAAATTAGCATAAGTAAAACATGCAGCTGTTTAAAAATAAATCAAAGAGAAATAAATTCTGATCGTGGAATCAAAAGTCAACATTTTTACAAATATCAGTTTAAATCAGAACCTGTGAGTAGCTCTCTTTGCACAGGAGTTCCAAAAGGTAATATCAACTTGTGCCTAGATGTGTCATGGAATGTTGGGTCAGGTATACACAGAGTGGTGGCTGTACGGAAACATTTCATTGTGGGAAGGGCTGAAACAAGTGGAAAAACTTTTCAGTTTAATACTATTTAAATCAATTCAACTAGAGAAAGAAAATACTTCATACTATCAATGAAACAAGTTGGCTAGGCTCAAATAAATTTCAATAACTCACATTTAACAGTGGTCACCCCCTCCTCCCTCTCCTCTCCTTGTGAGGGAAAGAAATACTGCACAAAACAATCTGCCTCTCCCCACATCATTTTCTCAAACAGCTTAAGTCCCTTGAGTCCTTCAATATTGATTTCAAATTGATGCTCCACTGTAGAAGATAATAGTTGAACTTAGTACACAAGGTTAACATTCTGTTATGTTTTCTAAAGTTATGATATTGATGCACTGTGGAATCCTTTAAATGATGAGCCAATAATGTCAGACTTAGATTAGGTTTGATGCTAAATATTTTTCATATGTGAAATAATACTAGTGAGACATCATTAGAGGCAAGTGGTGCGGAGCTTACATTTTCAGGTGTGATGATGTGGGTCTGTAGGCTCAAGTTTTGAGGTGAGCAGAGTAAGTCAGCATTAGAATATGTATGTACCATACATTTGGATAGAAAAAATATACAAGGACAAAGAATAGTATCAACACAGCCTGAAAGCAAACAACCTTACCTGCTCTGGCTGATGGGTTCACAGAAACTCCATTGAGCAAGTCCTGTCTCTCTAGATAAGCCAGAGGTTTCTGTGGGACTTGATCCATGCCACTGGAGTCTATCACTAGTCTTTGTAGGGTGGCAACCTGGACAGATGCACCAGGACATTGTCAGCACAACAATCATTTTCACATTAGTTTTCCCATCAGTAATAATAAAATAAAATTTCAATACAACATGTGCACATGAAATTACTACAAAGTAATGAAAGTAACAACATTGGTGCAATAATAAGAGTAGTAAATTTTAATTAGCTACACAACAAAATGTCTTTGTCATGATTTTGTGTTACGGTCAGTAAAATTCTGTCTTCATACTTAGCTTTTACTAAAAGAACAATAGATAACATTGAAAAATGTATTTAATACGCATGAAGGTGAATAGAAAATGAAGAAATTATACAAGTGAATTACCTGTGGTTCTGATCCCATAGCTAACACAACTTTCAACTGACCAAAATGAAGACCAGAAAATGGATCAACTATGGGCATGTAGTTGTCTAATGCCATTACAGGATACTGAAAAGTTGTTTTAAATGTGGGATTTTTATTAACTTAAATAATCATGACCAAAATAAAAACTAATTTAAGAATATTTCAAAATTGAAAGTTTTACAATATATGTTAAATGTGAATTTAAAATAGTAATGTGATTATGAAACAAAACTTACTTCTGACTTGAGTAAAGCATTGGCAATTTTTCTTTCTCTAAATGACATGTAGAACTGATGGAGACTCAACTTAACAATACCAATCAGCTGTGGAGAACACATAATTTATTAGGCACCCAGTTCAAACAAGTTGGAGATAATGAAACACTGTGTAATTAGTAGGTTGGACTAATACTTGTGCAGATAACTTAACATACCTTAAATTAAAAAGATTGCCTTGTAATTAATTCTAAAAGCAATGTAGACAACTAAAATAAATTGTTAACAGATTATTGTTGTACCTACCTTGTCATTTTCTGAAGCAACTTTTTTATCCCAAACCTCCACTATCATGTAGTTGTCCCTGAGTCTCTCAAGAAGTTGTGGTGTCATTATAACTGGTGCTACCTAACAAAGGGTAATGATACAAGATTTAATGGGAAGAAGATACAAGAAAACCTTTTCTCTGGTTAAAGAAAATTGATTTGAAGGTAAAAGTTATTTTTTGTAACAAAATACTTGATGAAACAATTGATAAGCAAGTCAAACCACGATTCACTGGGTTCATTTACCCAAGTTTGAATATTACTTGTTTTGTAGGAACATTTTGACAGCACTAAATTAAGTAAATGTATAAAATTGTTTACCTGTAAAAAGTTGTACTCTGGGTTGAGGGTCCCCCAACAAACATTGGAATGGACAGAATCGTTGCACCAAAACATCCTGCATACTAGATAGGTGTTGCGAACCACTGCATCTCGTCCTAAGTAAAATGACAATTATTACACTAATGGTTTTCCACTTTCTTACTTTGTAAGTTAAACTATTAAAGGACAGAAGAAAACAGGAAAAAAAACAGAATGTAAAAAAAACGCTTTTATAAATTATTTTTAAACTAATTAATAATGTGTTTATTTACTAAAATGTTGTTAACAAATATAAACGAGTGTAAAAGAGCACCTTCTACTGGTGGCTTCACCAAGGCAGGATACTTCTGGGCCATGTGGAGTGGTGGAACACCAGTTATTGAGAGTTGTCTCCCTTCTTGAATGTACAGCAAAGTGTGAAGTGTCATGCCCTGAAACACCAATTGTTCATATGAAAATAAGTTGGTGGCTTAGCATAAATGTTAGAAGAATTATTTACACTTTAAACATGTTGCAGTTTATTTTTTAAAGATCACTAAGCCTGCCATTCTCAAAAAATTGCTCATTCGTCACAGCAAAGGAGACTGCATTAGAATTTAGCTATACTTTAAGCACACAGACAAATAGGAAATTAGAATTTACAATGGTATGAACAGCTAGGGTACAAGATGATCCATGAGAACATACCACTAGGTCTGGTTGCCCTCTTAAGACCAGGGCACCAGAGTCCATCTGTGCTATGCTGCCATGTTGTGTGTTGGCTGTGTTTAGCACTGCCAATGTGTTTTTCAGCTGCTGTTTGAGCCTGGATATTTCATCTCCTTCATCCTCAGCCTGAGGCTTCCTGCGAGGTGACTGGGGTGGTAGGCCAGCTAGAACATTTGAGGTTGTTGACTCAGCAACAGCAGGGATGTCTAACAAGGTGAAAGAAAAATCTATTCAATTACAAAAAATATTTGGAAATCGATTGGTAATTTGCAAACAATACAATTTTAGCATTTGGCAAGGTATGAATTAAAAAATATTCTGAAATTAATATCTCATTTAACAGTATATCCAGCTTTAGTGGTAAGCTAAGTCAGCAAAATATTAAGGTGTCAATGAAGGGATTCTGGGACAATGTTAAGTCCACCCAGCTCTAGTAGTAGGAGGAGTTAGATCTTACAAAGGTACCTGGCTGTTTAATATTTCCAACAGATTAACTAGTTAAACTTACCAATTCTCTTAGTGGGAGACTTGATGACCGGTTGATCTTTGTTCCTACTCAACTGCTCGGCCAACTTGGCCAGCTCAGGGTTAGGGCCAACAATGGGCACTATCTTCACGTTTCCACTCATCTCTGCCAGTTTTGTTCTTGCCAGTACTGTGGCAAATTCTTTATGGTCAGACGCAAGCTCTACTGATATCTGAGAATTGAAAGATCATTAATTTCTTTTAATTTATAAAATTTTAGAATTTAATTTACGCTAATATTTGTAAAAATAGCAACATCACAACTGTAAGTGACCACACACCTTCAAATGGCCAAACAAGTGAGCATTGTTTCTGTTGTTTAGTGAGCTGTTTAATGAAGAAGTCCTGGAAGTGTTCAGTCCATTTTTGGTTGTGTCAGGAATCTCTATATCACGCTGGACAAACAGATTTTCTGACCTTAAAATTGACTTGAGAGATATACCTCCACTTCCAATCAGTGTAGCCTTCAAGAAAAGAAAATGAATGTGATCAATTTTGTTTTTTCTTATTGAATTATTCCAGAAAGGTAAAGATTATTTACCAGCATTAATCCAGTTTTCTCAACTATGCGGTATACATGTGAGAATTTCCACTTTAAAGCCTGGATCATACTATTTTTTTAAAAAAAACTAACTGCTAAAAGCTAGTGTACCAAGAAAATAATAAGGACAGACGTCGAAACCTTATTTCTCATACTAGATGTAACCAGGAGTCTGCTAAAAATATTTTAGACTACTGGTTCTGTAACAAGTGGGAGTTGAAGCAATTCAAAAAAGCAGTAACAAAAAATTCAGTATTTCAATCGTTTTTATTCTACACAACACCATATAAATGTGATATATTGCTACTTTAGATCAACCCTAAACTTGGCGTTGAACTATAATCTCCCCTTAACATCCCCACCTATAAGAAACCCAAGACTTACAGTGTGTTCCCCTGGCTCTTTGCTGTACAGTCTGAACACTAGAGCAGATTTCCACCATCTCTCTACAGCAACACCATCAAACATGATAGGAAAAACTGATCTAGTGTTGAACACAACAGCTGTAGAAATAGTATGTCAATGTACCAGTGTATAAAGGTAAACCATGAATAGCTTAAGTGTTGTGACTAGTGCAAATAGGAATTATTCTCCATACTCACCTCCATTTTTGACATTCTTGGAGGCAATTCTTGTCACCTCAGTTGCCATAGCACTAGGGGAATATTTGTCTCTAGAGGCAGCCACAACAGGGAATTGATACTCCACAAAGTAGGTACTGAAACCAATTGTAATGTATAAATATTCAGATGTAAACATTGAGAATCAGCCAACCACAACAGGAAACTCAACAAGTCAATACTGCTATGTAGTGTCAACATAACACCTAACAACTACACGTCTCCATGCTAACTAATACAATGTATGTCTTACCAAGCTTTCTTAGATTTTTTTGGCACTGGGGGTCTCCCTGTCTTGAGTTTACTGACAGAAAGTTTTGAATCGGATGTGTCGAGAAGGTCTGGTTTAACCAGCTGCAGGCTGTCAACGTTGACTCTTGCAACGTGGACTCTACCCAGCAAGGTGAGCCTCTCTACACTCAAGCCCTCTGTGGTTAAAGTCAAACAAGAACTTTTACATCAGTTGTTTATTATTTTTTGTCTTCTAAGCTTCATACACAGCTATATGCCAAAATTAGATATGTCTACCAACACAGAACATTTCTAAAGTACAAATTTTAAGACAGTGAACAAGAAAATAAAAAATTGTCAAATTAAAAATATTCAGAAGAAACCAACCTTGTTTTGGATTTCTCATATCAGTCTGAACAGGGTCAAAAGACACTCTCGATGTTTCAGACTGCGCCACACTAATTTTATCACTGTCGCTAGCCTCTTCCATGCTGTTTCTCCTTTTCTGAGACCTTGACCGTGAACGAGAATTTGACCTTGAGCGAGACCTTAATTTTTTCTTTGGTTTATTTGTCACTTGAGAATTAGAACTTTGAGGATTAGTTTCTGTGGATGCCTTCAGCGTTCTGTTGAGAGAATTTGATCTTGTCCGAGAGTTTGAGCGAGACCGGGACTGGGAGCTGGACCTAGATCGAGACCTTGCTTTCCTTTTTGTTTTTTTCTTTCTGTTCACGTCATCGTCTTGGGATACCAGGTTTAAGCTTGTGAGTGAAGATGCTCTGGATGGTGGTCGCTGATCAAAACAAAAAATTTCATTTTCAGTTTATTTACCATCTACTACGTTCTTAAATATAAAAAAATAACTCAAGAAAAGTATGCCAATATTTAAAAATTTTGAGACACCATGGTTGAATGCACAAGTGCTAATTTAAAAGCTGAGTTCAGTTCCTAGACTCAAGTCCATAGGATATCACACAGGTACTTGACTCAATAAGGGAAAGTAAAGGTGGCTGGACCTAGCACACACTACAGTATCTGTTTGTTTACTAAGATCACAGAAGCCTAAGTAATCACTACCCATGTATTCACTAGAATAATATAGGCATACCATTAAAATCCAGAGTAATTTAAGCATAAAACAATCCCCAGTACAACCCTCTCAATGACCAACAAGTACCTGATTCCCAGGGTCATCCAGCTGCTGTAGTTTGGATTTAGAAGGCAGAGAGGTGTAAGCATGCTCTGGTGTGTGAGGATAGTGTCTATGGTCATAGCTGCTTACATCACTCAAACCAAACCCATCATTATCCTGAATGTGAACAAAGATTTTTTTAAATATATATTATGTAATCTAGGATAAATTCAACAAGAACTGTTTTTTCTTTAATTTATTTATATATTTTATTTTTAAAGTCATGTTATGTTCTCAACTTTAAAGTTACCCTTGAATAAAAGTGTTTTACATCATATGTAATGTGATTTTAAAAGATGTGAATCTCACCGAGTTGTAATAGAAGAGATCTTGAAGTATAGAGTTCTCATGCAGTGGGTCCTCAGGTTCACTCATCATCTGGTCATAGCCAGCATCAGAAGACAAGCTTGTTCCAGGGCTCAGCCCATTCATTAAATTATACAGCTGTCAATAACCAAAGATTTGCTTGTAACCACTTTTTATTTGGTAATAAAAACAAGGTTTCTGATTAGCCATTTTATTTATAAAAAATTAAAATCCCCTTTTGTTAAATTTGATTAACATATAATTATATATTTCATTATCGCAAGACAAAATAAATGTCTTATGCACAAACCTGTAAATCGTGGTTTCTTATTGGTGAAGCCATGAGTAAATCAACAGCTGATCTTGGTGCATCGTCTCCTATGGTGGCTACTGGTACCACATGTGAGCTTGCTGCAGCTTCTTGGCTGTTGACAAGGAGATCACAATAAGTCCATTTACATGAACAAAATTTACTGTACATGAAATGTGGCAAAGAAATATTTTAGCCTGGCTTTTTCACACAGAGCAAATGTATTTAAAATATTTTTTTAAACTGCTATTCGCGCCTTGATTCATGAAGTTTACAATAAATTTTAAAATTTAAAAAAAAAATTAATTTGATGTACCTTAGTTAAAACCTATACACTAGTGAGATACTCAGTAACTGAATAACAAAAGTGGCCCTGTCCAAATGAACAAGCAACAAAATAGAAACAATGGCCAACACAAAAAGCAACACATAAATTTTAAAAAAAAACCACTAATAGACAACTCAGCTTGCAACACAAATTAGCATACAAAAAACATAAATTGTACCTTTTAGAAGTAAATGGGAGTGAAATATGGTCAGAGCTTAGGTCTGTGTGCATAGAAGATACAATCATTGCTTCCCTCAGTTTAGTTCCTTTATCAACCAAAACAGAAAGTATGTCTTTTTGGTTTGAGGCTACAGGTGCTGCTGGAGTTGCTGGAAGATTCGTCAAATAATTGTTTTGTAAACATTACGTTATGTTTTCATGGAATTTTAAAAAATAGCACCATCAAATGTAACAGTATAAATTGATACTGAGTACAACAAAACATTTATGCATCAACATAATGCAAGAGATTGAGCTCACCATAGTTAAGTCTCTGACGTAGATCATCTGTATGGTAAGTTTTGGACACAGCTCTGGGGTCTGACTGACTCTCTTTGTTATGCTATACACAAAAAAAAAAGATGCATACCTAATATTCAGATAACACTTCTTACCATACATAACCTATAGGTGACAGTGAATACAAAAAATATTTTTTTATTTTTCTCCCTAAATGCACTTTATAAACATGATGATATTTTATAATGCCTGCACTACTGTTTGATTCCAGAGTAAAGTTTAGGGTCCGGATTATAGTCAGGGTAGCAGATAATTTAAAAAGATTTCCTGAATGATGCCCTCTGATATTTTAAGAAGTACCAAAAATATTTTTAGACACATTAAGATTATTGTTGTACTGATTAATTCTAACAATCTATCATTTGAAGTCATTTTGTTTATTCACCAAATCCATTTACCTACCACTGGTAGTGTTACTGTAGACAAAGGCAGAAAGTAATGTAACAGTTGGAAACTTACAGTAGGAGAGATGAAGATGGTGTTATCAGGTCTGGCTGGCATGTCTGTGTGGGCCTCTGGGTGGATGGTTTGGTGGGTCATAGAGTCATGGGTTTTCTTTAGGACATTTAGCCCTGTGTCTGTCGTTGGGGTGGAACCCTTCTGGTCATATGAATCTGCGAAAACAAATCTTAATATTAAACACATAGCTGGACATTAATAATTTATACATAAAATAAAATGTACACTTTTAAAAAAGGGCATTAATTTTTACTAAAAAAAATTGATGCTATATAAAAAATACCCATCAAAGGTTCAAGTACAACAGCCACTTGCACATTAGCCAGTTTCTGTCCTGATGGCGATATCACAGGGAAAAATCTGAAGATTTTAGAAAACAAGACATGTAACTAAGATTTTATACAACAGGACAAACATAACTGGGCTATAATTTTAAAAATAAATCCTAAAGATTTTATACAACAACAAGTGTAACTAGACTTTGTGATAAAAAAAATAAAAGATTTCATTTAACAGAACAATTGTAACTAAGCTTAGATAATTAGTTGTACTATTCAACAGGCATTATTTTTCTGAAACAAATCTTTTTAATCACAAACATCTTACAATTGGTCAAAATATTGAAAAAGAATGTTTAGTTAAAAAAAAATTGTTCGTCTTCAAAATTTTGAGAGGCTGCTTGGCTTTCATGCAACACAACTCACTTAAATAATAAATTATTACGCACCCATTGATTGGCCTTGTATTGGATAACTGCACAATCTCTGTCACATTGGCCTGGCCAATAACCTCTGAGTTTGGGCTAGTCAGTACATCCAGTGACAGCTTGCCCATGTCTGCTAGGTATGTGGCAAATTGATGTGGCCCTGAGCGCACAGGGTACCTGGCTGTAGTCTTACATTCTGATTTGGTCCCCTTTTTAACATCTAAAGGCCTGCCATTAAGAGAAATAAAAAGATTTTTAAAAACGTAATAATTGTATTTAATTTCAGTAAATTTATATATTACTCAATGAAATACTAGAATTGGGTAGATTTAGATTCTCTTACCTAAAAATTGAACCATCTCCTTGCTCCCCCCACCATCTGATTCTTACAAGTGTCGACTGTGGAGGTTTTGTTATTGTCCAAATGACCTGTGACACACTAACTTTACAAAAACATCTTATCTGGCCATCTACTTGAGGTGGAAGACCTGTGTTTACTTTAACATCATCATTTATCCACTGGCCATCTGGATCTGGTAGATGAATATATATATATAAAGTTAAAGCATTTATTATCTTAAAATATATGATCACAACAATCAACAATGTATTTATTAACTAGACTCATTTTAACTATACTGATTATCTACTACGAGCCGGCCCGCGGCATAACATACGCCGCTATTTAGTTGTTTCTAATTTTCAATAATTCATAATTTGTGAATTCGACAGTACCAACGCTGACACTGAAAATATTTCTTTAAAACACTATAAGTAGCTCGTTAAGGACCATAACCCCCCCCCCTTCCTTCCCCCCCTCCCCCCCCCCCCCCCCCCCCTACGTTTAAAATCGTTGGCTCTGCTTGTAAACATTTAGAGTGAACACAGCTCACTAAAACCATGTAGGGGTGGGGAGGTAGGGAGAGCGTTTGCAGCTTGTTTTCTAACGGCTCGAAGAGGAGAATTATATATATAGATTGTTTTAACAAACTTTAGCTTCTTATAGAATGTTTTTTGTCAGATCAATCATGTATTAAAAAACCCTTAATTCCCTGTGGAATGTCTCTCATTTTCACACCTCACCATTTCACTTCTTTCATTTTCCCAACAACCATGCAATGAAAACATAGAAGCTTACAGACGAATTTATAAATATAATTAATTGCTCTCATTATGTTATATATATATAGGCATACTAACTGAAAAATTGTGAGACAGACTAGTGATTAGATCTAGTATGTGTACTATTAGGTGACTCACTTAACTCACAAACATTAAGTTTAACAAGACAGATTCTTTTATAAAAAATCATAAAATAGGACTCTAGAATAGATCTACTGTGTTCAAGGCTACTTCACTTCACATCACTGATCACTCACACTAATTGTCTGAGCTCTTGGGTCACTCAGTATCACAGAAGAGTTAACTGAGCCCTGCACTTCCCAAAACTAACTCTCCTCTGTAATCAATAGATCTAGACTAGCAATAATATTGCCTTAACTAATTAATGATTAAATGTCACAGTAAAACAGTCAAAGCTAGACTAGATTGCCAGATTCTAATTTAAGTTTTTAAGTTTTTACTTCCATCTAGAATCTAGACCTCTAATAACAAATATTAAATTTAATACATTTTTATTTCATATGGCTGCATTTTTAAATGATTTTTCAGTGAGTAGGCGGCATTTCATTTTCATTTCTTGTTTTGGGCCGGCCTATAACTTTAAAGTAGGGGCCTATTTCATATTTCATTCTGGGTGGGGGATTATATAAAATATTATCAATAAGTAATTAATTGTAAAAACGTGATTTTTAATTCGTTTTGAGTCCAGCCAACAGTCAAAATTAGATCGACAAGCGGTAGCCGCCGTGGTAAACAAATCGTCAAACGTGAAAACTGAAAACATGCTCGAACAGAACTTCAAAGATAAAACTATAGAATATTTAATCTAGATTCTATATATAGATCTATTTACCTTTCTTTTTAGTTGATTTCAATGGTTTGTTAACCTTTTTAGACATGATAATTACATAAACAAAAATGCAAATTCATAAATGTGTAAAACATTGTCGGAAGTAACATAAACTACCACGGTATCCATACAAACATTCGTCTGAACTTGTCCGCCATAACATTTCAATTGATTATTACGGAATCTAACGAGAGGTCACGAGATTTCATTTATTCCTGCCACTGAATGAAATTTCCTAGCCCTAGCAAAGTAGAGTTAGATTCTAAATCTTGAGTCTAGACTAGATCTAGATTTAAATATCTAGATCTAGTTATAGAGTAGATTTCTAGATACTATTGTGTATAGTATAGACTATATCTACCAAGGTGGGCAATACCGCCCCTGTGGCGTGTGTTGTACTGGAATGGATGGGGGGGGGGGAGGGAGGGGGAGGGTAGGATGTATTACCGAGAGGGCACACAATCAAGTCTTTAGAAGTTTTAAACTGGTTAAGAATTAAAATTAATAGTTTGCTGCTTCATACACACACAAAAAAACTTTTAAATATAACCAAATGTTTACAATTGTGATAGTAATGAATGAGAGTTGAGAGGCGGTTTTTTTTTAATTTAGTTAACACAGCAGAGGCGTAGCGAGGGGGGGGGGGGACATATGTCCCTGAGCGCCGACCTTAGGGGGCGCCAAAATGGGTTGGAAAAACAAATTAAAATCTTATTTTAGCTGCATTTTTCCAATCGAAAGCTTCAGGGGGGTGTGTGCAAATCGAAAGCTTTAGAGAGGGGTGCAAATCGAAAGTTTGAGGGGTGGGGTGCAAATAGAAAGGTTGCTCCCAAGGGGGGCGCCAAATTAAAAGTTTGTCCCCGCGCACTTTTTAGTTAATCATAAAAAGTGGTAGAACTAAATAAAAGAGCTGAGCTGGAGTTTCTTTCAGGCATCTATTGGGGGGGGGGGGGGGGGCTGAAAATATAATTATATAGAAAATAGACCACTTTTACCAGTGTCCGCCCACCCGGAAAATTTAGCCCACCCCCTCTCCCTCTCATCAAAAAATTATCAGGTGACCCCTGTCTCATTGATATTAGATTTTGAGTAGCGTTTGAAATGTTTAGTTCTAAATAAAGCATACAGAGGGTAGCTGATCATTAGTCTTATAAAAAAGCAGAAATTTGGATTGGTGGGCATTGACAGCTCAGACAGAAAACTCAAATTGCCACACCACATATTTTGTTGATTCAATCACAAAATCTATGGCTTACTTTAAGGGGAGATAATTTTAGTGAAAACAACTTGTTTGAAAATGGTGCAGAAAGGTAGGGAAGGGGGAGTGATGAAACAGTAGGTTTTATTATAGTCAACACTTGAGATGTGGGGAGAGGTGACTGGAAATTGTATTGCCCAAACTAATCTCTCTGCCCACAGTGATCGTTATGACTCTGATCTGAAAGATTACTTGGTTAGTTCCTATAAGGTTTACAGATCTCTCAGCAAGTTTACATCACTTTTTAAAGTAGGCCTAGTTATCGGCTGATGCTACAAGGTTTATAAACACATTCAGAAAATAATAGTAATAGTAGAGAAATATAGGAAATGAAAACAAAAATTTTACATTAATAGCACTTCATTTATTTACAAAATGTATTTGACATTTTTTTATTGTGCCAATATGAAAATAATGACATTGGAAATACATACACCAGAATGGTGGGCTAATGCCCCCATGAACATCAAATGCATGTTATGTACTCATCTAACAATTTTAATTCATCTACTTCAATTGGTGATAAGTAAATGTGAACGCTGAGTGAAATAAAATAAAAATGTAAAAAAAATATGGCTTATATAAATCATGTATATCTTCATTCCAGCACTCAAAAATAGTGTTCATACATTCAAATCTAGGCTACACTTTTTTCCTTCCAAAGGTCAGTATCACAGGTTTCTCATGAAGCTTGTAGCCATTAACAAGCTCTATGGCTTTCTCAGCTGTCTCTTCATCTGAAACATACAAGAAGTTGCATTCATAATGACAAAAATAGTTATTTTTTTTATATGGATTCATTAACATGATCTGGATGTAAATCCAAGAACGCATTTTTAAATATAGCAATCAACATTATGAAATAACAGAATTTGATAAATACAAAAGTTACAGGCGCATTAATACTAAAGAAAGCTTCAGTCACATTACCTATTTAATTAGACTCACAAATAAATAAATAAACTCACACTAATAATATAGGTAAAGTCACACAACTACTATAGCCTGATTAAATACCATAGTTATTCTCATGAATAGAGACATGAACCAACTTTATGGGATTATCAAGAGTTAATTCACAAAAAAAAAATCCAGAGCAATCAAGTGAAAGCAGAGCTGAGCCACAAGGAAGAATTTTAAAAATATTTGAGCCTCACCAGGGAAAGTGATAAAAGCTTGTCCTTTCATTTTTCCTGCCAAAAGCTTAAAGATAATTCTTGGTTTGTTTTCTGATTGGAAACGCCCAAACAAGGCTATCAAATCTTCTTCTTTAACCTTGTTAGGCAAATTTTTTACATACACAACCTGTTGAAAGAGAAAATTATCAAATCACAATAAAAAACAATTATCAAATCACAATCAAACAATTATGACAAGAGCATATTCAATTCTATATGTAAAATCTAGAATATTGAATTATAAATTTACTAATACTCTAGGAAAATTATAACTGTTTACTATTTACTTACCCTATTTGGTTCACCCCTGGAGTAATTTTGAAATTTATCCAGGGCTTTAATTTCATCTAGACTTAGTCTGTTGTTTTCTATTTCAACTTGTGTCAAAAATGTCACTGGTGTTTTTATTTCTTTGCAAGTCTGTGTCACATTGCCAGCCACTGAGGGAAGTGGCACTTCATTATTTAACACATGCACACTGTCACTATCATTATTAAGGACTGTTTCTGAATTCTGAGTTGTTTCTCCCACTAAATTAATAACATCAGATGTTTCACTTGGTAGTGAGGGTCCAAAGTCAAGAGACTCAGTAGTTCTCTCAGTATTTCTATTATCTGATTCAGAAGAATCAGTTTCATCTTTTTTTGGTTCGTTAAACATTGCATAAAACTTTTGCCTTCTCTCAAACTTTCTCTTCTTTCTTCTCTCCCTTCTAGATTCCCTTTCTTTTTTTTCCTCAATTTGTTTTAGTATTTTTTGAATATGGTTTATAGGGTCATCAGGGTGAGAATCTTTGAACTTTCTTTGAGTGATGATGACATTCGGATGTTTTGATTCTTTTCCAAGACGTTTTTCCAAGTCTTGTGCCTGCCTGCTCAATTCTAGCGCCCCATGGAATTTATCAGGCATTTGAAGCAGTTTTTCTTTCTCTTGTATTTTTCTCTCAATTTCTTTCAGTTTCTGTAATCTGGACTCAGGATCAGCACCATATCCACCAACAGGAATACTTTCCTAGAAAAAAAAGGGATAATTTATTTTTAAAAATGTTTTATGAAATGAAAACTTAAATTTAGTTAGGTGGTGATCTTGTTTATTTCAATAACAATTCACAAACGTTCCAAGTACCTTGTGTGATGAGGTTTAGGTTCAACATAGCATTAGTGTGTCTATGTGTGTGAGTTGCATTTGGGTGCAAGTGTCTGGAGTCAGGTTCAAGTAAGTCAATAAATTCATAAATTAGTTAGAATGAATGTAAAGGACAAGCTATTTATATCTGTTACTTCTAAGTTGGAGGCAAGAATGGCTGAAATGATCTGGTAAGAGTTTGCTGTCATTGGCTATTAGTAAACAAAAGATTGTAGAGTGCTAAAAGATAGTAGGAGATAAAGATTAGTAAATAGTTGTAGAGTTCATATCAAATTTCATTAAATAAATAGTGGTTGAAGTGTTACTGTTACTACATAAGTGACAATAACTATGACTTATGGTGTACTGCCCATTAACTGGAATTTGTTCTCATACCTTAACAACTTCAGACAGTTGAGTAGTGTACCACCCCACCAATTCGGTACTAGGAAATTGAATCACCATAATACCCACTATAAATCAAATTATAATTTCAAAACACATACTTGGGTTATCATTAACAGAACCCTAAATAAAAATAGTTATGCCAGTGTTCAGGGTTAATCGGGTCATATAAATTAACTCTTTTTTAAACAAAACCATAAATAGATATAATATAATTGTAATTCACATTATAATTTTACCTTATTACTTAATTCCTCTCTTAATTTTAAGGCTATTTCTTCATCATCCAGGTTACACTGTCGCAAGTACTCTATCTTTGAGTCCATATCATTGATGTGCTTGTAGTCCTCATATTTATGAACCCCGACCAATTTCTCCACTTCCGGAGCATGGGATGTTGCTGGTGTAAAGTTACGGTGCTGTGAAAATTGACTGGAAAAAATATAAAAATATGAAGAGTTGTTTTTTTACTCAAAATCTTGCTTTTAAACAACACAGGTTATTTTTCTTTAAAAAATTCATTTCACAATGAAAAATTAAGCAAAGGGTATTTATAAATGATTAATCTTTAAAAAAAAAATTCTATTAATATATTGACTTACTCAGTAATACTGATGTCTTTTTTAATCTGTCGTTGCAGCAAAGTTTGCAAGTGTTTTTCACTTTCAGTCTCTGCATTATCAACATCATCAAGCTTATGTTTTCTAGACTGTGGCATTCGAACAACATCCCTAGTCTCATATCGTTTTGGGTTGCCACTGTTAAATACAATTTAAGTGAGATTGTTAATTTTTTTTTTTGAGTTTATATTATTATTTAACTAACTGAATGCAACAAGCCCACTGGTTGGTTGAGGCTGAGCAGGGGACTCGTTCTGCCAGAGATTCAAAGGGCTGATTCTAAATATCATCCCCATAGTCATATTTCAAATATCTAATAAAACCAAAAAATGTAAAAAAGGAATTTAAGTAATAAGTAATAATTAGGCCCCTATAGAGTTCTACTAGCCTAAATAAAACAGTAGGAATGGTCCTAAAATTAAAATAGTCGTTAAAAGTACTGTAAAAGTACTAACCAGGGTACAGCTTCCTGTATTTTTCTAGCATTTCTATGATTCATTTTGATTCTGTAGATTAGCCTGTAGAATAATAGTTAAGTACAATAATAAAGCTTAAAAAAATGTGGTGAATTCTGTCACGTCAGTTTGACACTAGTGATAGTCACGTCAGTTGTGTAGATCTAGATCGAGTAAACTAGTATATAAGTATTAAGTATAACCCCACCTGACATGGTGGTCATTTTTGAACACGTGTTTTGTCCAAAAAAATTAACAAGTAGGCTAAAACAAGAATTTTAGTAGCCAATCAAAGGCAATCATGATTGTTAGATCTAATTGTTACAGTGTAATCATGGTATGATGATGCCACTTAGGCCTAGACTCTATGTCTTATCATGTCTTACTTATAATGGTATCCCGCACCACACAATCTGACAATGAAAACATTAACCATTAAAGTTGATTAAAATTAATTAAAGTAGTCAATGATTGTGAGGGGTTTGGTAATCTATCGTTTTGGGTACGTAAAATCGCCCGCGGCTATTAATGTACGAAAACGTTACCTCATTGTCAAGGCTGTAATAGAAGTATATTGTGATATGTTTGTGTCAAATATTATAGATAAATGAATAATAAACCTAAATCAATGGCTAAATATATCAATATAGGCCCGAAATTAACTTTAAACAGCAGTGTCTGCAAGCAAGATTTGCTATATAAACAGCAGACATTTGTAAAATAGAGTGACTTCCGCCTGAATCTTGCGCTATAAGTCTATAAAAATAAAACTTTAACAAGATGGCTGCTATAGTAAATGAGCATGGTTGCATCTGTTGGAAACATCGCTGGTGTTCATTTATTAATGAAAAGTTTTAATTCAATCGTTTAGAAACAGGTACATAAATGAAACAAGGAAACATTTTTGTATTTTTCAAACATAAATCCTCCTCAAAATGTGAAATAATTATTAAAATGTAAGGAGTCACCTGTTTTTCACATTACTAGTTGCGGGCGATTTTACGTACCTAAAACGATAGATTACCGGGGTTTGTACAGTTTGTAGAAGTAGTAAGCACGAAGTTTCGATTTCTGTGTAGGTTAACTGGTTAACATTTACAAATATTTCAGTAATAAATTACCCCCAAGTGCCAAAGCTACCGAAAATCCAATGAAGTTCCTATTGTTTCATTGACTTTGACTATGATTTATGAAATTCAAAATGTGATAGCGTATCTAAGTACATCCGCCATCTTTCATAACAATATTAGAGTAATTTCCCTTTATTTATGCAATTAATCTTTTGCCAGTGAAACAACATCTTTGCTTTCTATGAATCGTTTAAAAAACAATGAACACATTGTGTGACACGAAATGCACCTGTTTGTTGATACTGATAGCTACTGAAGTGCTGTGTGAAGCAGCAAACTATTAATTTTAATTCTTTACTAAATTTACAACATGTGTTTCTAAAAACTTGATTGTATGCCCTCCCTTGTAATGCAGCCTTCTCCCCCCCCCCCCTCCCCCATCCTCCATTCCAGAATACAAATACCAACTTAAACACTAATTTGAGCATTGTTATATACCATCGCTTTACCACCTTATCCAAAATTTAAAAAAACAATGAACAAAATGTTAAACTATCGAATTCATTAACTGGTAAGTACAGTTCTCTTTGAAACCTGACGGTTTATGGGGCAAGTGAAGTAGAGTTCACCTGTTTATGTGACCAGTGCCGGCGCCAAGTTATTTAGTGCCCTAGGGGTCATCCATAAATGACGTCACGCTTTTTTTGACGATTTTTACCTCCCCCCCCCCTCCCCTCCGTCACACGTCGTCACAAAAAGCCAGACCCCCCCCCCTAAAATGACGTCACACCTCAACCTACAACCCCCCTCAAAATTGCAGTTGAATTTTTTTTAAACATCGATATTTTTCCAAAATCTTGTCTAAACTATTACAATTTATTAAAACAGTTATCTAAAACGCGAAATAACGTCTAAAATTCGTTTTCTAACATTGCTTTTTTATAATGCAAAAATGTGACGTCGCAACATCTGAACCCCCCCCCCCTCCCCCTCATCACACATCGTCACAAAATTACGGACCCCCCCTCCCCCCTACGAGTGTGACGTCATTTATGGATGACCCCCTTATAGGCAAAACTTATTCAAAGCGCCCCCCCCCCCCCACCGCAATTTTTTTCGTGCCTTCGTATTATCAGAGGCGTAGCGACCCTTCCCGGCGCCCGGGGACAAACTTTCGATTTCGATTTGCACCCCCCCCCCCAGCCCTCAAACTTTCGATTTGTTTTTCCAACCCATTTTGGCGCCCCCCCCCCCCCCCCCCCCCACGGACAGCGCTCTAGGCGACCGCCTAGTTCGCCTTATAGGTAGCGCCGGCCCTGTCTGTGACTGAGCCTCAGCCCCACCCCCCCTCCTCACCCCCTCACCCCGAGAAGAGACGCCTGGAAGAAACTCTGAGGGTAAAGAAGTAGTTCAAATTTAAGATAATTATGTAAATCAATGATTTACTTAATTATCTTAAATTTAATCATGTGCATAAATCAAATCAGTGGGGTTTTTTTTTAACCGAAATAATATTTCCGATTATCTCTCTTTGGCTACTAAAAATCAACTGTTAATATTTAATTTGCTCAATAGTTCAAATTAATCTTTTCGTACACGTTCAATCGCTCTTTCGTTCATTCGGTCATTCGTTCATTCAACTAGTGGTACCTCGGTGGTCGAACGACCCGGTTAACGAACGCTCCGGTGAACAAACAATGTTACGCTGTACTCCTTTTCTCACCGTAATCTTTATTTGCTTTCTCATTAGTTTGGGGGTCGTCCATAAACCACGTCACACGGGAGGGCGGGAGGGGGGTCCGTAATTTTGTGACGATGAGGGGGTGGGGGGGTTCAGATGGCGTGCCGTCACTTTTTTTGCATTATAAAAAAGCAATGTTAGAAAACAATTTTTAGCCGTTATTTCGCGTTTTAGAAAACGGTTTTAATAAATTGTAATAGGAATTGATCAAAATACTCTATGTTGACAGAGTTCAGAAAAGTTTTTGGAAAAATATCTGTTTTAAGAAAAATTCAACAGTAATTTGATGGGGGGGGGGGGGGAGTTGTAGGCTGAGGTGTGACGTCATTTTAGGGGGGGGTCTGGCTTTTTGTGACGACGTGTGACGGAGGGGAGGGGGGGGGGGGAGTTAAAAATCGTCAAAAGAAGCGTGACGTCATTTATGCGGACCGCACCGGGTGAAACTATTTAGGGGGGTGACACCAAAGCCAAAAATAGCAAAATATATAGAGAAAAACTTGAGGGGGGGGGTGACACCATTAAGTGCCGCACCGGGTGACACCCGACCTCGCTACGCCACTGCGGTAGCCACACTTGGGTGTCACATGTCTAAGGGCTGATGGTGTTAACTCTTTTAACTAATCCAATAACTCCTAGACTTTTGAGTAGCATTCTTATAGGCAAACCTTACTGTGTTGTTAATTACAAATTACAGTAATTCAATACAAAATTATATAGAACATATATATATATATATATATATATATATATATATATATATATATATATATATATATATATATATATATATATATATATATATATATATATATATATATATACTTTGGTTAACCTTAGTCTCCCCCCCCCCCTCCCCCATATACACCTCAATTTGGGGGCAGGGGTGGTTTTCCAGTGGTATATATGTAGCGGGGGTTATAGTCCGGGAACTTTAACTAGACCGGAAGTCGCTGAAGGTGAGGGACATACTGGGTGCCTTGAAAAAACCGTATTTTCTTGTGGTCAAGGAACTGGAACAAATAACAGATCAACTTTAACCACCACGGTCAATGCATTTTTAGTAGAAAAAAGCCGTACATAGGATAGGTCTACATTATGAATGCCATTAAATTAATATGAAATAATGTTTCTAAATTCAATTCATTTGACTTGACCTATTGATAGATCAGACAAACACAATAGTCGAAATCGCCTAATTTCCCCCACCTTGCAAAAACAAACCCTCCAACACAAACATACACACAAACACACACACCCTTCCACACAAACAGACCCTCACGCACAAATACACACATATAAATATACTAAAAATCCTCAAACACACAGACCCTTCACATAACCACACCTCCCACACGCAAACAAACACACGCAAACACCTCCTACATATCTATATACCAGCAGTAGCGTAGCGAGGGGGGGGGGGGGGGCGGGGGGGGGACATATGTCCCCGGGCGCCGACCTTAGGGGGGGCGCCAAATTGAAAGTTTGAGGGGGGTGCAAATGAAAAGTTCGAGGGGGGGGGTGCAAATCGAAAGTTTGAGGGGGGGTGCAAATAAAAAGTTCGAGGGGGGGGGGGGGTGCAAATCGAAAGTTTGAGGGGGGGAGGGTGCAAATGAAAAGTTCGAGGGGGGGTGCAAATCGAAAATTTGCTCCCAAGGGGGCGCCAAATTGAAAGTATGTCCCCGGGCGCCGGGAAGGGTCGCTACGCCTCTGTATACCAGAGTTACTTCCAGGCATCTCTTCGGAAATGAAAATTATATAGAAAATATATACTTTTAACCGAAGAAAGTCTACCGTCCCCCCGAAAATTTCAAGTGCCCCCCCCCCCCCCCCCCACCGGAGAAAAAAGTCTGGAAGAAACACTGCTATAATCTAAAACCATCAAACACAAACAATCCTGGCTCACGACCAACCCTACAGCAAAAATAATTCGACTGTCAAATCACATTTTTAAACAGAAAAAAATTATCAAAATAATCGCAAAGTCATTCACTTTGCATTAGTTACTTTATCAAAACGTATACAAATATAGATATTTTATTCTTTAAAACAACTTTTAGCCTACCTAAACTTAAACAAACATAAATATTTTATTCTATAAGGCAACCTTTAACTCTAGTCTGTCCCCACCCCCGCAACCCGCCTTTCACAAACGGAATATGTTTTAAATACAGACCGTACAAAGACGCCTCGCTCCAACAAGCTAGGGCCAATTCAATAGATGCTTTCAGTAGGGGAAATGTAGTTGCCGGCCTACCTACTCCCCGTTGTTAGAGTTCTATTGGGGAGTTGGGGCCACACAATATCGCCAATGGTTCTCAAAAGTTTTGCCTTTATTCCTTTGAAATTTTTTATATATATTTTTTATAAATTAACATTAGGCTGTACTTAATTAATAATTTTCAAAGTGCAGTTCACAAAATGAATACACGGGACAACATGTTTTTAAAAGTAGGATAAAATAATTTCCATTATCAAAATAATATCGCAGACTAAGGATCACTGAACTACGCAGACGAGATTTGAACTTCCGGCAAAGGTGCGTTATTTGTAGATCTAGTTCACTAGTCAATTTACGTTTAAAACCTGTGTCGTCATCCGTGTCACAAAATTTAATACGTATAAAAAATAGTTTTAATTACAGACACGTTGAAAGTCCTTTTAAGTTAAGAAAAAAAAACAACACTTTAAAAAAAAATCAATTAAAGTTCAATTAATTGTATTCTCAGTGAAGAAAGGGCTAGTATAGTGAAATGCCTGTACCAATGTAGGTGACAGTCAGCAGTATAAAATCCACGCTGGAGAGAAGCCAGACATAAATCAAATAGGTATTTTCTTCAGCTGACGTCGCTGGGCTAAATGAAAGATCAGGCGGCACGGAGCGTGTTACAAACGTCTAATGACTCGTACACAGCAGACGACGGTCACGCCGCATTTAGCGGACAACTCCGGTTAAACGTTCTTTAGTCTGTTTTTTTTTCTTCCTTCTAACAGGTAGTTACCAGTCAAATCAAGGTGTTATCGGAGCAAGGCACGAATCTCTGTCAGTGTTCCTGTGATAATGTGTTCGGGACTCGGCCGTTCTGTTATGGCTTGTCATGTTTATGTTGTACTTAGTGGATAGCGTGTGGATTGTGGATATACATGTGTGTTTCGGATGGATCCGAGTGGATTAGATGACAAGGTGGATACATTGGGATATGGATGTATGGATACGAGCTTTTCTAAGGATGGTCAAATGGAACAAGAGGATAGTTCCAGTGGTCAGTCCGAGGTCAGTGACCAGGAAGGTGAAGGTCAGTACACTGAGACCACGGTCGCCCCGTCACCGGTCAATATCCGGTCCAGTGCCGATGACGTAGAAGATAAGGATACCGATAGTCAACCTTCCAATACTCAGTCAATCAGCCGGCATGTGGTCAACATAC